TTGAGCCACAGGCGCCGAGCCAAACATTTTAAATTTTATTTGAGATTTGTACAATCATTTAACAAGTTATATATGTTTAATGCCTACTATGTTTTCAGCATAGTGTCTACCCTAAGGTCTCAATAAATATTAGTTGAATGAATGAATAAAGAAGGACCCACTATATTTTTTTCTGAAGCATTCATTCATTCTTTGGTGCCAAGTCCCTGCCCTCATAAACCTTACATTCTGGTGGTATGGGGAGAAAAGATGAAAACCAAATAAGTACAAATGTAGTGTGTCAGCAGCTGACAAGTGTCATAAAGAAATACAAGGCAAAGAAAGGACAGGGGAAAAGGAGGGAAGGAGTTATCATCTAGACAAGGAGGTTACAGATAGTGGGACTGTGCTTGGCATGCTGGAGGGAAAACAAGGAAGTGAGAATGAGGATTAGGAAGTGGACAGAGAGGTGGGTGAGTGGAGAGTAGCCAAATCATACAGGGCCTTGGCCATTTAAATAAAGCACTCTATAATCAGAGTCAAATCCAGGGCAATGCCTGTGCAAGACGAATAATTGTGGTGGATGTGGGGTGGCACCTGTGGCTCAAAGGAGTGTGGCGCTGGACCCATATGCTGAAGGTGGCGGGTTCAAACCCAGCCCTGGCTCCCCCTCCCAAAAAAGAATAGTGGTCGATGTAAATAAGTAAGAGGGTTTTAACAAATGTTTAAGATTGTTGTTTGTGTGTGTGTCTTTTAGAGAGACAGTCTCACTCTGTTGCTGGAATACGGTGGTGCCTTCGTAGCTCACTCCAGCCTTGAGCTCCTGGGCTCAATTGTTTAAGAATTTTGATTCAGTTGTTTTTACCATACTATGAAATTTATTGAATTTGACAGAATCAAGTAATGATACACCTATATGATTTCTCACTTTCAGTTCTAAGAATAACTGGTTGTTGAAAAAAGCCAGGCATCTCCACCTCTCTGCTGTGCTTTCCCTCTCACCGTGTGAGCTGGACACTCCTGCTGCCCCTTGCCTTCCACCATGAATGGAGCTTCCTGAGGCTCACACTAGATACAGATGCTGACACCATGCTTCTTGTACAGTGTGCAGAACTGTGAAGCAAATAAACCTCGTTTCTTTAAAAATGATCCACACTGGGCCAGGTATAGTGGTTCACGCCCGTAATCCTAGCACTCTCGGAGACCGAGGCAGATGGATTGCCCTGAGCTCAGAGGTTCAAGACCAGCCTGAGCCAAAGTGAGACCCCATCTCTACAAAAAAAAAAAAACAAAACAAAAACGCCAGGCATTGTGGCAGGCACCTGTAATCCCAGCTACTTGGGAGGCTGAGGCAAGAGAATCGCTTAAGCCCAAGAGTTGGAAGTTGCTGTGAACTGTGACGCCACAGCACTCTACCGAGGGCCAAAAATGAGACTCTGTCTCGATAAAAAAAGAATAAATAAAGGGAAAAATAGAAAATTTAAAAACAAACTTCAAAGTAAGACAATTGAAAGCAAAATTCAAAAAAAAAAAAATCCACACCAAAATATTCCTTTATAGCAACACAAATAAAGTAAGACAAATGTGGGTATAGCATTTTGTTTGGAATAACAAAAAAAATTCTGGAAGTGGATAGTGGTGATGGTTGTACAACACTGTAAATGTATTTAATGCTACCAAACTGTACACTTAAAAATGTTTAAAAGGTAAAACTTTATGTTATGTGTGTCTTATCACAATTTTTTTAAAAGGCATTTGCAAATTTTGCCTGCATCTCACTCTCTCAGAGTCGAAGTAATCTGATGTCACCAGTTTATTGAATTAACTGGACTCAAAATGAAAAGTTAAACTTACTAGTTCTTCCTACTCACTTAAAATGTATTCTTTTAACCTGCTCCTTCCTGCCCTTAGATGAAAGTTTGGTAGGTTCTACTGCTTTTCTGATCACTTCAGATAATACAGTCCAGAACATTATAATATTACAAAGTTAAAATTCATGTAAAACTCACTTTTCCACCCTCCAAAATAGAGCCTGCTTCAAGGCCCAGAGAACCTCTGTGAGTGCAGGGATGGGGAGGAAGTTTAGCTTCTCCCGTTTCTTAGATTCACTACCTGCAGATGTTCTGGGCCCCTTTGGAATGGCAAGGAAAAAATATTTCTTGATTGGTAAAGTTGTCATCTAATTTTAGTGCCCTCTGATTACAGCAAATTTTAAATGCTGTGTTTTTCTTTTCAGAGGGGATATGTGGGTTCTCTAGAGAACCTTAGCCCCCTGATGTCTTTCTTGCACAGCTCCCTTGATGGGGAAATGCTTTCATCAGCTGGCTACTGGGGTCTTCCTATCTGCCCCTCCTTAGGGTCCCCAACACAATACATGCAATCTTTTTCCATGGGCCTTTCCCAAGATTGAGTTTGGCTCCTCTACCCAGAGTCTAGTGTCTGGCCTTTGAAAATATGTATGCATCTTTGCCCCACCAAATTCTGGAAGTGGACTGCCGCAGAGGACTGGCCAGCCTCAGTCTCTCTCTATCAGTGCTCCTTAGACGGAAAGAAGTGGAAATAAATCATGGCTCCTCAACCACCATGAAAATTTTCTCAAAGAAAGTGCTCGTGAAGGGTCTCTTCCAGTTCCTAATGAACTTGTTGCCTTCTCTTAGGTAGTTTGAAAATAAGCATGGGCTAATGCATGCATTGCTGGTTCCTTGTGCCTCCACACATCCTCCTGCTTGGGCTGTCCAGCACTGCACTTTTTTTGAGCCAGAGTCTCACTCTGTCACCCTGAGTGGAGTGCCATGGCATCATAGCTCACAGCAACCTCAAACTCTTGGACTCAAGCAATCTTTCTGCCTCAGCGTCCTGAGTAGCTAGGACTATAGGCACACGCTATAATGCCTGGCCATTTTTTTCTATTTTTAGTCGAGACTGGGTCTTGCTCAGGCTGGTCTCAAACTCCTGAGCTCAAGCAATCCACATACCTTGGCGTCCCTAAGTGCTAGTATTACAGGCATGAGTCACTGGCGCCCAGCCGGCACTTTAGAATGAGGGAATTCTTTAGAATGAGGGGATTCTTCAAGCCTTTTGTGTTGTAGGGCTAC